TGCTTTCCTGGTGATATTGGCCCCTAAACCCTAAACTCTAAACCCTAAACCCAACTGCAACAGCTCGCAACGAGGAGCGGCCGCGTCATCTTGACTTCTTGCATCATGTATTCCCTTGGCGGCCGCCTCACCGCTACCACGCACGGATCACCACTGGTTTCAGGTACGTCCTAGAGCCCCTATAGACCCCTAGAAGCCCCCAGAAAGTCGAGGTTGAGCGCAACTTTGGGCAAGTCTCGGCGCATCTGGAAGGGTCGTGTCAGCCGCTGCAGCAGCTCCAGGCTTTCGGTCTTCCGCGCAGGATCTCGACCTGCAACCGAGAATAACAAGGAACATACCATAATTCGGTTTAGGGTCCGAAAGGAAATGCAGGACTTCTATCATCGAGGATCTGTCTCAAGATTTTCAGGGATCGGAGCAGCGGAAAAAGGAAAACGCAGCACAAAAGCCTGCACTTTCATGCTTAGCGAAGCTCGTGCCCGGAGCTGTCTACAAGGCTGTGAGCCTCTTTCCACACCGGTTTTGGGGCTCAACAACCTGCGCAGGGCTGCTGCACGGAGCCTTCTACACATTCCGACCTCTGGTCGTCCCCAGGCACTTTGGGGTGTGCGGGTTACGGATGTTTCTTACATCTCTGGCGGCAGCCGTGCATTGTGGATCCAGGGGGGTGCTCCTGGACAGCCCGCCATGAAAGCCAAGCACTGGCGGGAATTTACCAGTTGTTCTCGCTGGCGTGGCGACGGTTGAGGAAACAACTATTCGGACCGGCGTCCCCCCCCAGAGCGGTGCTTACTGGGAAATGCTTGTAGACAGAAAGACACACCGGTATCGCTTCCCGAGTCGTCCCTGCTGTCTAAAATCGACGTCTGTGTACATTCGGGCGGTGAGGTTGACCTCGGTTGCGTCTTGGGTCGTTCGTATCGTATAGTTGTTAAACCCTAAACCCTAAACCGTGTTACCATTGCTACGACTAGTCGTTTTGGTGCTAGCTGCTTCGGTGACGTGGAGACTTCCTTCTCGGAGTGTTCGGTGTGTAGTCTTAGGCCTTCGAAGGCTCTTGGAGTGGTCTTAGGGTGCATTAGGAGAGTTCCTATAGTGCCAGCATGAGACATGGATCATGCGGAATGCGCATTATCAAATCAGGATGTGTTTTGGTTCGCAAGGTCTTTTACTTTATTTCAGGGTCATGGCCCCTTGTCACTGCTTCAGTTCTATCTTGCCGGACTGTCCACGCCACCTTTTTCGATGACCATCGAAAAAGTCCGCCTGAAAGAGTCCTCAGCAATGGGTAACTTGATTTCATCTCTTCCCGAGTCTTACACAAAGGAAGCCTCAAAGTAGCTTGCATGTTTGCATACACTACCAACATCGATCAACTCTTGTTATCCTCCTTGCAAATCGATGCCAGCTTTTCGGCATCTCAACCCACGAACCTCTCAACATCTCTCAACAAGAGCAGAAAGCACGCTTGAGAGCTGCGTGTCAAGCAAAGCGGCGTGGGACCCCAAGTACCCGAAATTGACAAAGTCGAAGATCGAGTGGAGCTCGTCAACCTTGTTCTCTATGGGAGTACCTGCTCCGGCGTTGAAGAACAAGGCTGACTTCGCGCGTACATCGCAATGATGGTTGGATCATCTACGACAGCTATTGTCTGCTGTTGATGACCTGTTTCCACACAAGACTATGCCGGCCAGTACCAGCCAAATAAGCTACGTGTCGCAAGCGCCCCTAAGACGCCTTATGCAGCATTCCGACACCAATCCAATCGCTCTTTTTGTCATCAGTCTCAAAGGGCGATTTCCCCGCCAGCAATACACACCCGAGTACACGAGCCCTCCTGGAGAGAAACCCACAAGGACTGTGCTGACATCAGACAGCGAGTCTTAAAAGGGCATATATTAAGCAGACGACTGGAGAACTGCTCCTTGCGGAGCACTATCGCCGCATTTTGTAAAAATGGAATGAGAAGAAAAGAACTTGCCTGGTTCAACAGGGGCGGAGCAAGCGAGCCGGTCTTCACATGCTAGCTGGTTGGCGTTCAAGATCGCTTGCAAGCTGCCTAGATTTGCCGTATGATACAGTCTTTTCAGAGCCTGAACGCTTTAACTTTCAGGCGCTCTCTGGAATTTGTCCGCATCCCTGTGCTGAAGCTCCAACTGCCAAACTACAAACTGCACAGCGTTGAACCCCAAGCATGAAACAAAAGCCAGAAAGGATCTCAGAAGCACCGGACCTGAAAGAGCAATGCGGGTATGGCCGATGACATTACCGATCCGCTTCACCTCAGTACCGGTCATGACGGGTGTCATTGCCAGGAGTACTACTAAAAGTAGTGGTGGTAGTAAGTATCAGCAGCAGTAGCAGCAGCAGCAGCAGCAGCAGCAGGAGGAGGAGGAGGAGTAGTAGTAGTAGTAGCTGTAGCAGCAGCAGCAGCCGTGGTGGTGATAATTGTGGTGGTGGTGGTAGTAGTAGAGCTCGGACTTGTGCAAGATCTCCGGGACGACAACAGCCCTCGTGGCTTTGTGTTTGGAGGCACGGGCCTCGCAAGAAGTGAGTAGAAAGCATCATCGTCCTGGACGCAACCACAGGGATGGGAACAGTACGATCAAAGAGCAGGAGGAATAGGAACAGTACCAACAGGACAGGGGCAGCAATAACAAACACACAAACACAGGAGCAACTTTGGCAAGAGCAACAGCCGGGCAGTAAAAGTAGCAAGAGTGTAACAGCACAAGAAACAGAAATGAAAAGATGACAAGATTAGCCAGCAAAACCGTTGTACTGACAGTAATCAGACAAAGCAGTGCGATCGTAGCCCAACTGGTACTCACATCAAGCCCCGCGTGACAGTCATCGCGGCGACCGTTGCGCTCACTGTCAGAAGCAATCACGACAACCACCAGAAACTCGACCCTCCGAAATGCTGCCAAGCTCACCGCCTTCGACACTTGCCTGGTCAGCGTTTGATTGGGGTTTTGGTACCCTAAACCCTAAACCCTAAACATTAAATAAACTCTTGGCCCTGCTTCGACTTATGAGGCGGAGCAAGCTGAGCGACGCTCCGTGGTTCTTGATCTTCTGTGCCTCGTCAATGACCTGAGATGGATCCATCTGACTGCAGATACCCGCTGACACGAACCCTAAACCATAAACCCTCCACCTCAAATCATATATCCTACACTTAGACCATGAAACCGAAACCCTAAAGAAGAAAAGCAACTCTACACCCAGCAGGAGAAGCTCTTGCGAACTATGCGCCATGGCCGAAAAGGAGATCTGGAAGGGATCCGCCAACTTGCACTGGTCATTGCGCACCATCTCATAAGTCGTCAGGACGACCTGAGGCTTCCGGGGCTTGGGGTTTGTAGGGTCTCTGGTTTTGGGGTTTTGGGTTTTAGGGTGTAGGGTTTTAGGGCGTAGGGGTTTGAGGTTTCAGGCCGTAGGATTTTGAGGCTTAGGGTGTAGGGTTTTAGGGCATAGGGTTTTGGGGTTTAGCTTTATGGGTAGGCTTGTCAGGACGATCTGAAGCAGGGTGTTACATTCCTGGAGGGAGTTCTAGGGCCAGGGGGTGAGCGGCTGCCAGGCCGGAACACAAAATTGAATGGGAAGCAATAGGGTTTAGGGTTTAGGGTTTAGGGCTGGTCTGAACCAAGCCGCATCATAGCCCGACCCTGGCAGATGAAAGCACTGCAGCACGTTACGAATGTCACTGCATCCCGGTTCAAGAAGCAATGAGACACTGCTAACTCGTGCGTGCTACCGCGTGCTGCGAAGATATACTGCGAGATGCTGCACGGTGATTTTTCTGCAACCCCTTGATCACGGGCTCTAGCGATACTGTCATGTGTGAGTAACAAGAAGCTTGCCTGCAATAAGAGCAAGAAGACAGAAGCGAGCCTCTGCAAGGGGGCAGTTGGCGACCGAGCCCGTGGTAGACAAAGAAGCTCAGCTCCGGCGCCCACTTTTTGAACTCATCTCGGCACAGCATTTGGTATGAGACCCTAGGCCTGGGGGCGTTTAGGCCCCCTGTGTCTGCGTAGAACGCATCAGATTGAAGGAAGAGGCCATGGATGGTTGATCGTTGCGGTTGTGGCGCGCTGTTCTAACTGCCGTAGCGGCCTTTTTGCTCTGGCTCTTGCTCTCGGTCTTACTCCCACTCCTACGCCTGCAGTGGTCCGGTTTACTCGTGCGTCCAAGGGGCTTTGCCAGTTCCGGAGGAGTCCCGGAGGCACCACAACCAATGCTGGCCTCTGTCAGGCCCTAAACTTCTCAACCTTCAGACTTGATTAGGCTTCAGCGCTTGGGGTAACCCTGAAACCATACCGGAAGTGCCGGTTGGTGGCCATGCATGAGCTCTTCTGGCAAACGTAGTGCAGACAGCGCGGCTCCGAAACTCAAATCTATGCGTTCCGCACGCTGCATACATGTCGTCCCACGTTTCGCATCGTTTCGCTTCCAATGCACTGCAACCCAACCTAAATCTGCGTCTACAGCATAAGAGTATCAACATCGCGACATCGTGTACCAACATCATCCTTGTGGCCGGCGCTCGTTCATGTATACTTCTGTTATCAATGTATTACTTACTTACTTACTTACTTACTTACTTACTTACTTACTTGCTTGCTTGCTTGCTTGCTTGCTTGCTTCCTTCCTTCCTTCCT